CCTGGTCTGTCTTATAGAAATCTGAGAGTTTCCCAGAGACATCATACAGAGACCTCACCTCTCCTCTGTGTCTCTAACCCATTACCAGGTCACACACATTCCTGTTTTATGAAAGGCAACGCGTCTGTTGTCACCGAGTTGAGGGAGGTTCAAAGACAAGGACGGCAAAGAAAAGGACACTAAGTGAGAATTTTCACTTGAGTCCTTACATGAAAGCGCTGCTCGCTCAAAGTCAAGGCTTTGGGAGGCCGGGCGTGTTGTCAGAGGACTTTGATGACAAGTGACGGAGTGAATGAGAAGCAAAGAAGAAAGAGAAGAAGAGACGGACCAGGGGAGGAAGAGGGGGGTCACTAAGAAGAGAGGAAAGTAGAGCCGGGGTCTAGGTAATTAACGGCAAGCGCTTTAATTACTGCTGGTGTTCATTGTGCCAGAAGGAATGTGACAATTATGCCATTAAAACTTCCTAATGGAGGGGAAAAAAGTGAGGGAGGGAATAACAGAAGACATGCAAAGAAAAGGGAGGATGAAAGGAGGGAGGCAACAGAAGTAAGAGAGGAGGGATATGAAAGGGGGGGGTGAGAGGGGAAACAATCGCGACAAAAGAGAAGCTGGGAGGGAGATGGGGAGCGTATTAGGCCAGCACAGTGACAGAGCAGATTAGCATCAAACAAGAAAGGCCACAGACGTGTGTGAATGTGTATGTGTGTATGTTTGCGATCACAGAAACAGAGGACATATTCATTCCAAAGACGCCACCAAGGTGGATGGAACTTTGATGATGCAGAGTCTGGCAAAGGGAAAACTCAGTGTGTGTGTGAGAGTGTGTGTGTGTTTGCTTGCTGAATCTGCGTAGGCTCCTGTTTCAAGTGGTGGTGCAGGCAGGTAGGGGAGGAAGAAGAGCAGCAGGAGGAGGAGGAGGAGGAGGAGGAGGAGAAAGGGGAGAGATCCACGGAAAAGGGCCTCGGAGGCATCCTGATACACATGCAGTACGTTTCCATCTCCACATTACCTCTATGACTCACACACACACACACACACACAAGACAGGAGAAACATAACGAGTGTGTCCGCGCACATATGTAGCACACGTAAACACACACATCCCCACACAAACATCAAAACAACACACACACACACACACAACCCACGCACTCGCAAACACACTCATAAACAACACCCACTCACACACACTAAAAGGCCACACAAACACTTACACAAAGAGTCTTAGCGCTCACCAAGGCGGTCGGTTCATCAGGGGGGTTAGAAATTTGCATGGCTGGGCAAGTTTTCCTTGTGCTAAACTCTAATCAGCTCCTGTATCTCTCAGACACCTGCCCAGCGTGCAAAAAAAATAAAAAAACCTTAATATGCAAAACACCTTCCCACCCTCCTCCACTGAGGCAGCTCCTCGGCCAACAGAAGACTTATTCACCTGGCCTCGCTAACTCTTTCCCACCCTGCCTGTCTTCTTGCAAATTTTTACATTTATGTATGCAAATCAGTTGTTCCCCTTAATCCTGTTTCAACAGTAACTTCCTGGTGCCCGGCGAAGAATGACAGACTTGTTCGAAGGTATCGCAGGAAAATTAGTGAAGGGAAACAAGATGTCTCCTCTGTTTGAGCGGACATGTTGCAAACACTCCTACAGGCGGACACTGCAACAGTCTCTACGAATAGTTAAATCGCTATATTTATTTTACGTACAATGCAACCATTTGATCCTCTAGCATCAAAGCTTTCCTACTTAATTTGACATTCCCATGCTCCTCAAGTTTAGATAGTTACAGTCTCTGAGGGAGAAAATTATGTGCAAAAAGCTTGTAAAAAATGTAATGTTGCCATAGGCTTTCTTTTTGTATTAAATAAATAGGAAAAAATATAGTCTAATCAAAGTCTTCTTACATGTTTTAAAACTGACTATTAATTGTTTGGATTAACCATAAAGATGCACTAAGCAGTTTGATGTTAACAGGTTGTTCTTTTAAAAGAGTAGCAACATCCAGGTGAATTAGACTAATAAGTAAGCATTAGATAATTAAAAAAAACAAAATATTAATTGTATATTTCCCAATGAGTGTAGAATAATACTACTTTAGTAAAAGATGCATTTATCTTGACATGCTTTACAAGTTTTCCTCAGGTTAATACATGTAGAGACAGATTTCTGACATTGAGTGTGTCTTGGAAAGAATCAATAATTTCCTGTTAATATCAAACAATTTTTACAGCCAAACAGCAAGAATGAGACAACATCACTAAAAATTTTTATAAAATGTATTTAACTAATTTTATTTCTGTGTTGCTGTAAAACTGTCAGAATTAATTGAAACTCAATACTACAAACCATGGACATTATTGCGCATGGGAAAACGTGCCTTCTATGATCCAATCCAACTCTACCCTAACTAAAGATTATTAAGACCAGGCTTAACTAGTTGTTTTGATCACACCAACCACTTTTTAGATGCATTAAGACATTAACATCTTTTTTCTATTTTTTTCTTTTAGGCCATGAGTTTATTCTATGTAGATGTAAAACAAACTGTCAAAATTTGACCAAAAATTAGCCAAATCAGTGATGTCATACCAGAGCCAAGTTGCTATGATGACAGTCTATGACAGTATTATTGTTTGATAACAGTCAAAATAAAACGATAGCCTAATTTGCTGTGGGTTTAATTCATTTTCTCATCACTCATACTGATTTCTGCTCTTATTAGGGTCTGGCTAGATAGAAGAAATCTTGCTTCACCCTGATGTGCTTTCAGTTGATTGAGACCTCATATATACAAGTGCTTCTGCCTGGCAGAGTCTTTCAAAGGCTCCCTTAAGAGGTTTGAAGATGGATGTGAGGGAGATGGTGTGTGTGTGTTTGGGTGAACACAGAGCAACCCCAGTGGACAAATAATGATGGAGAGAGACAGAAGGAAACACAGGAAAAGAAAGTGAAGCCCTTTAAATGTGAGAGCTTGCAAAACTCCCACTGCTCACAAGGGCACTTCGCTCCTGCACGTCATCTCTTTTCCCTCTTCTCTCCTTCCATCCCCTCCGTCGGTTTCCCCCCTTTCCCCTTCTCCCTTCATCGGTCTCTCTTTTGTCTCTGAGCTCTCACCCTCCGTCCCCTATCTATCCATCTCCCTTGTCCCACTCTCCCCCTCTTTCTCTCCCCTTCCTCTAGCTAAAACAGTAGGACGCTTAACCTTGATAACAGTGAGATCCCCCCACCCCACACACACACACCAGAGAAGTGCTTTGCCAGCATGCCAGGCCGGTCCAAGGGACGGCTGTACCCTTCGAGGTGAACAGGACACCGGGAAATGCAGCAACAACAAAACACACACACACACACACACACACACCTCCACAAAAGCAGCTCACTCCAGGTCTTTCTTAACACAAGCCCTTTAAAGCTCTTTTGTCAGCTGACATTGAGAGGAACACTGTCCATCTTTAACCATTTCACACACACACGCAATCACAAAGAGACGACGGTGAAAAGAGAAGTGTGGAAAAAACAGAACATAGTAAAGGTGAAGCTACCTGCTGGGAATTTACGACAATGAACCTAAATCCGTCGACCGTCACACTAATGCTTGTAGGCAAATGAGGATAGGGAAGTAAAGTGTAGTTTTTCTAAATATTTAAACACCCCCAAACAGAGGTGTAGTGTACGCTTATAACTGTCGAGAGGAAACTGTTGTAGAGGAAAAGGTGAAATAAGCAAGGTGTTGGCGGGCTTCTTCCTCATCAGAAGAAACTTCCTAAAAGCTGTTTTAACTAGACACGGCCAAGTCGGAATTTTGTTAGTTGGATTATTTAAAGCTGAGGTGCATAAACATTAGTTTATTTTTCTATTAAATAAAGGGTATCAGTAACTTACAAAAGTATTTATAGAGTTTGAACCACACATTTCAGTATATTTGGGCTTGTATGATATAAACAAAAGGAATATTTAGGACAAGGGAGGGAAAAATTATGCAAAAACAATGAAAGTCAGGTGTTTGTATGTGCAAATATGTAAATGGTGACTTTTTTTTGTCCATGATCCTTTCCAAGGTAGCTCAAGTCCAGTCAGCTTCCCCGCACTATGATGCTATCACACCCATGATTCACAATAGGAACAGTGTATTGGGGATGTTCAGCGTTACTCATTTGCTACAGCTATTGACATGCATGCAGGTCAAAAATGTCTATCCAGAGCTCCTGGGACCAAGGCAATTTTTCCCACAATTTAACTGTCATGCTTGTTGCAAATGACATATGGGACTTAGCCTTGGATGACTTTCCTTTGACTACGACTCCTTTCTTGGCGCTTTTCCATAAGGGTCAGATTTTTAGGGTGCAGAAGTAACATTTGATCAGTAAAAAGATGATTTAATGCGTGCTTTGGAAATGTGACATCTAAAGTCGTCAAGACCATTGTGATTGCATGTCTGAATTATGTTCATATTGCACACTAAGTAAGTTTAGGTATTATACTTTTATGATTAAAGATTATTTTATAAACACAGCTGCTTCAAAGTTCTTCACAATTTGATCTCCTAATATTTTGTGTTAATTGGTCTTCATCATGCTGTTTGTCCTTAAACGCCCTCTAAAACACCCTGAAGTCTTTATAGATGGGATTGATACTGAGGTTAGACAACACATGGTTTCCATTTATATGGTGAGTTCTTAAAGCAGTTAAGTGAAATCTATGTTTTTTTTCAGGGCACCTGAGTAAATGAGATATTGCACACAAACCAATAAGTATTTATTTACATTTATGTACCACTTTGTGTTTTTGTGTCAGTTAAGGGTATGAATAATTTTGCAAACAGTGAATCAGATACTACTCACATAAATAACAGGAAGAGTCAGAGAGGACACAGCGAGAATATATCAGGATACACATCGTATTCGGTATCCAGTAAAGTTTCAGTTTTCCTTCTAAGCTCCTTTTATTACAGAGCCTTTAGCTCCAGCCTACGTCTCTGAGAGATACTCGCTGAAAGATTTACCTCAAAGTCGTTAGCCTTGTTGTAGTGCATGTTTAGGGCTCGGAAGAGCTCGCAGTCTCGGCTGACGCTCAGCTCCTCGGCTCCAGTGACACCATCGTTGATGGCCTGCCGGGCAAATTTCTCCATCTGGATGTAGTAGAACTCCCTGAAGTTGCTGAACCATTTGATCAGCTGGGAGGTGATGCAGCGGTTAAACTGGAACAAAAGATGGAGGAAGAATGGAGGGGTCAGCAGAAGACAAGCCCAATGTTTCAACATGCTTCATACACACAGCTGTTTGATTGGAGTTTCAATGAATCCTGCTTAATGTCAGGTGTGCCGAGGCGTGAGGTAAGGTGGGAGGAAGCTGGGAAAGATAAAAGACGAGCGGAAGAGAGAACACAGGTTGCAGAGAGAGGGACGATGATAGAGATATTAAGTAAGACAGCAAAGCGAGGAGGTTGGTGAGGGAAGAAAAGAAGAAACGGCAGAGAGAGAGCTTGTGTGTGGTTCGTCTTCCCCGCTGGGAGCAGACCTCCCCCCTATCATAACCCTGTGAGAGGAGGGAGAGGTGGAAGAGAGGGGGTGAGACCGCAAACACATAATTGACCAGAAAAACGATTAAGTCATCATCTGAAGCGCCCTGGCCCGCAGGGGGGCTCAAACATGTACTTAACCCCGCTCACCAATTACACTCTGATCCTCCGCCCCTCTCTGCACCTCCCGCACAGGAAGAAGAATAAGAGAAAAAAAGAGCAAAAATAAGAAGACAGAGGCGATAAGCATGAGATAGTGTGGAGGCAGTGGCTATCTGATCTGTGCCGCCAGGATGAATTCAATAGGGTGAGGTAGATCTATTAAGAGTTTCAGGTTTTCTTCCTCCTCACCTCACAGGAGAAACTAGCTAAACATCTAATAATGATATACTTTATAATAGATAATATCATCCATCTGTGCAGCAAGAAAAATGGGAGATGGGAGCTAATAAATGCCGAGCATACTGCTCGCTGGGGAGTCAGAGTGGTTTTGACATGGAGATTAGACCCTGGCTATTGTTCGACAACACAGACATACACAGTTGTCATGATCTGGGACGGCAGTGCAACTCATCCAAACTCATTTAGAAGTAGGAAAAGTTGGTAAATAGAGCAAATGTTGAAAAAAAAAGGCTTTTCAAGAATGATCTGTGGATGACATAATAGTGGTCTGGAAAAGAATAAGTCTGCTTGTTTGGCAGGGGAGGGTGGGTGTGCAGGATGGTAGCTGTCCTAAAGTGCAGGGTGAGCATAAATTGGGAAAAGAGAGGACGGGGGTGGGATGGGTGCAGGTCAGCGCCGTTGAACAATGGTGGTAACGACGGTGGTGTTTGCAGGTGGTGAGGGGGTCGGAACGTGAGCAGTCAGCAAGCCAGGGTCATGACATCTGAGCATCAAACAAACAAACCACTGACACTTACAAATACTTTAGCAGTCTGAGTTATTCTTAAACACACAGCTGAAAAACTGGCAGACAGTCGGAGTGGGACACAGCGTATAGAGACGCTACAAAACCTTCTGTGTTCTTGTGTGTAACATTGGCCCTTGCTGCATTTGAATACATATTCATACATGTGTGCTTACATGCTTCTGAGCACATGCAGGTCTGGGCAATGTAGTGAGATGACAGCTAGGGAAAGTTCCCATCGCTCATGTGCCTGACCTTTGGTGTCACTGCAGCAGAGTGACTGAATGCATTTTTCACTTTAGACAAAAATTACTTTATTATGCTGGCAGGTTTAGAGAAGATGTATGGCTGCCTGTGCAGCTGTTAGTGCTGGTAAATACACTAAATTGCACTGCAGACACACTAACTGCCCTTCTCACACTCAGAGATTTAATTTGGTAGGTTTCTGTTACTGTGTCCTGTATTCTTGGTTCATTAAGTTGCTGTTGGGGGCACAGAGACCCCCACCGATACCAGCTAAAGACGGGTGTGTTTGCTGTAAAAGGAGGGAATCTTTTCAAAGGAGCACATCACTGCAGCTCCTTAATCAGAGCTGGCAGGGGTCAGCCAGCACAGACATGAGACACAGAGAGGAAAGTGTGTGTTTGATCTGATACACTGTGCTTAAGCATACAAGTGTGTGTGTGTGTGGCTATGAAAGAGAGCAGGAGAGACAGTGAAATTGTGTTTCTCACACTCACACTCAAGAGCCTGTGAAAGGTCAGCACTTAGTGCTAACAGCATAAGATAGAAAATGGCATGCACACACACTCACATGCATATGTTCTGCTGATGCTTAAGTCTAAAATAGATAAATAAAAGAGATATTTTCTGTCTAAGCTATAGTCGCCTGCAGAAAGCGCTCAGGTGTATTCTCCTCTCATTATTAGGTTTGGTCAAATTTGTACGCTGTTGTTTTTTTTGCAGTGAGTTTTGGCTGAAAGGCGTTTAGATAAAAAGCAAACGCTTTCTCAACAGTGGATCAGAAAACACACAGATGACCTCAGAGCGCTCAGCTGCATCCAGAAAGACCAGGGAGGAGGATAGAAAGACACAGAAGCCTGCATGGGCCTCCCTCTCTGTCTCTTTCTCTCACTCTCCCTCTGTCATATAAGCCCCCTCACAGTCATCAGGGCTTTCCAACATTTCCTGTTTTCGCAGGAGTGAATTGTGGGAGATAATCTGGGGCTGTCTATTGGCTGACTGCACACAAAAAGCGGCCCTGGAAAGCGGGCTTTTGTTACTGCTGCTGCTGTGACTCAAAATCAAGCCGCTGGCTTTTCTTTCCAGCCACCGGCCCCGCCGAGGCGCACATACCGTGCCATACCATCAGCGAAAAAAAAAAGAAAAGGGAAGGAATGACAGACAGAAATGCAACCCCCCCCTGATGTTTGCAGCACTACAGCACATGACTGGCCCAAACACAGAGGCTGGTTGGTAAAAGCAGCAGACTAAAAGTACGCAAACTGATTGGCCAATTTTGCCTCAATTAACTGTGATATCGTAATCAGCAAATAAACACTGAAATATTAAATTGAGGTATTCCTGTTGATAAAAGCCGTCAAATGGTGTAAAATATCCAATAGATGAACTCTGATTGATAATTATTAGATTAAATACTGAAATCATCTCAGTCATTTATACTGTATCATATCGTATTCATTCATTATCTTCCAAACCTTTCAGCTTCTTTATCAAAAAACATTTTTTCACTGCCATATGATATATACTCCTTATAAAATAAAGATCAACATAACATATATAAAGCAGGTTGTTTATTGTTTGTTCTGTAGAAACATGTCAAAGCAACCAACCTCAGATGAATCATTAAATTGACTAAATTATTTTAATCTGCTTCTTGATCTGTTGACCTCTTCTCAAAACCTTATCTCCTATAACAAAGAGATGTCTTAAAGCCACTTGGATCATATAAGCTGTCATTAGTGACACCAATAAGGGTATTAAGTAAAATCTGTCAAAACATTTCAGAAACCCTCAGAAAAAATGTCTTAAAAGAAGCTTAATAAAGATGAACAACAGGCTCCAGTGCCTCACAGGTCCAGACCTGATTAGTGAAGAGCAGATTAACCTTAAAAGACTTTTGTTTGACGACAAGCTCTCGCTGAGAGGCTGTTTGGGCTGAATCTAATTAGACAGCCCCATTCCCATACACTTATTTAAAGTCTGAATCCATTGTCATTTACAGAGAACAAAAACAAACTAATGTGGCACCTAATCCCTTAAATATCTTGACCTTAATTAGATTTCTATTCACGATGAGGAGACCTTCATGGGAATGCCTAATCCTTGTTCTTATTATGAAAATTTCAAACATAAGTTTTAGGATATTATATTGATAATTAAGAGAGAAAGCATCAGCGTCAAGACTTGCTGTCCAAAAAACTTGTCTGACAAGACTATGTGCTCACAGTCTTGGCTTTTAGTGAAGGCATACATGCGAAGGGCAGCTGGTAGGAAAGAACGCCTTTATATTCAGATTTGAATAAGATGGCCTGGATCTGTCACAGTGTTTACTCACGATCAAGGTCCAAAAGAGGCAGGGACACAAACACAAACAGAATCAACAGCATAAACTAGTCATCACCCATGATACAGCAGCTATTGTGTTGTTTTTCTTGTTTTCCTCTTCAGCTCACATAAAGTGCTTTGTTTTTCAAATTTTCCATCATTAAACTCCCAGCAGGACTTATGTGCATCCTTGCCATGGCCCTAAACTAGCTCTTTCCCCTACACCCCTCCCTTTTTTGTCTTTTTATCAAACCCGCCTGGATACACCTGCTCTGAGAGCCACTATCTACGCCCTCCGACCTCCTCTCAGCCCTCTCTGTTCCTCCATTACTCATCCTTCTCGTCACCTTTGGAGAACTCAGTGGCTCTCCAGCTCCACTGTGCAGACCTATTCAACTTCCTCTTCTTTAGTCTTTTGCATAAACCCACAAGGTAGAGAAAAAGCATATCGTTTCAAGACACAAGTATACATTGTTCGTTGTAACTGAGGCGGGCACATCACCTTTTATAAAACCAACTTCCCTTTTTTGGTCAGGTGCAAAGAGATACTATGAGGAGGAAATTAAGCAAAAGACGGAGCAACAGCTATGACAGAAGTTAAAAATGCTTTTTTTTCCAAACATTGTGCTTGAAACATCTCCCTACTCCTTAACATTTGTACCCTTACTTTCATGCTACTGTCGCAAACCTTAATGACTTTTTAGGGACTAAGCCACCTAAGAAAACACTGTAGCAATGAACTGGCTTCTGAAATCATTTGATATCTCACTGTTCACTTCATCTCAATAGAAAGAGTATAGCACAACTGGCACAATCCTATCAACACATGATCAAGAACCTTAACTGACCTGAGAGCTTTAAATCAAAGTAGCAGCCAAAGCACAAGAGCTATTAGTTGTTACGGTCAAGAGGACAATAAGAAAGACCACAAGCAAGTAGAGCAGAGAACGACTATTTAAAATAAGCTGCTCTGGTTAGATGAGAAAAAAATGAATGCATGGCTAGTTAATTGATTTGATTATATCAAACAATAATCATGCATTAGAATGATCCAGTCAAAGTCCAGACCTAAACTGATAAAGAACCGGTAAAGAGATGTGTCCATTTTGACTGAGAAAAATGGCAAAATGTGTTTTAGGTCTATCGCGTAAAAAAATCCAACATACATGCTAAAGATTGTCTAAAAAATATTTTTGCAATGCAATACTTTTGCAATGCACTGCTTACAAACCTAAATGGGACAACGTTATAACAAATAGGTATGAGAACACAAGAAAAGAAGAGCCATTGAAGACTTACCTTAACATCAGAGAAAAACATCTTTAGCATGTTAGAGCTTGGGTAGCGGGTGTAGAAAAACATTAGCTTGGCCTTCTTGAGATGATTAGGGGAAAGGCCCTCCTGGATCTGGAAAGAGCTGCTGTTAAGGAGATTAACAATTTTGTGAAGGCCAAAAACTTCAACTTCAAGATCAAGCAAACATGGGTACATTGCACATACTGTTTTTAATCACTAATGACTCAGAATAAGTTTGAATTGTGCATTTGAATGAAGTATAACCACATTTTCTCAGAAGCTTGAACCAGGGCTGGATGTGGCGAGCTGAAGACAGAGCACTGAAGCAAAACCATTTGCTTGAAATTAGCATCAGCCATTTCAGGTGTGAGAGCGTCACGGTAAATAAAGCAGTACAGCACTTGCTTTTACATAAGGAGACTCATTTCACTGTCAAAGCAAGCAAACGCCTTTGCCTAAACCCTGCACTAACCTCCTCCAAAAAAAGGAGGAAGAAAAAAGGGAGAAATTTGCATATCACAGACAAAGACAGCAGTTAACGCCAGTGGCGGGCAAGAAGGCCTAATGGCTTGGCGATAACACATGCCAAGCCTGAATATGACTGTCTGCTGCTGGCCACTTCAGTGACAAAATAAGGTCTAGGAGATCCCAAATGCCATTCCGGGCAACATGAAAAACCTTCTCACACTTACATATTCAAATATATGTCAGAAGACTGTGTCTTCCTAATGGATCCCCTGGACTGAACAGTAAAAAGGATGGAGATAGGCTGTTAGGGGCACCTTGAGGGATAGCATGATTCCAGCCTTCAATTACCTCCCCCCTCCTCCTCCCTCTGCTCCACCCCTAGCCCCCCAAGCCTCTCAGCCGCTGCCAAAGCCTTGGAGGAGCAAAAGAAAAGGAGGAGGAGAAGAAGAAGAGAGGCACTGTGGCTTTGGACTCGGTCAGTGATGGGAAGAGTGGAACACATCTGCGCCTCTAAATAGACCAAGCCATTTCCATGGCGAATTAAGGGCTGTATAATACATCTGATAATTCTAATCTGGAGGATAAGACTATGAAAAGGGAAGGGGTATGGCTGGGCACATGTTACAAACCGGTTCAATATCAAGGTTATTGATGACTTGAAGCAAGTTAGAATGAGCTACACTAAGTTTTTATAGACTTTTTACACTTGAGTGGCTTTCTGATGTACAGATTGGGCTGTCACCATTAAAGTCAGTCAAGTGTCCAGATGTATCTGTGGCTAAAGAGAGGGAAGAAGGCATCAGCTGCTAGATTGGATTGCCCTTGGCCTTTGGGCTACAGAGCAGAGCCAGCAAATTCTAAATCATGCTGGGCTCTGGCTCCTTAAAGACCCCGTCTACTTTGTCTGATTCAAGAGAGAGGGGGACAGAAAGTAGCAAGGGTCTTGTGGGGGAAACCCTGGCAGGCTGGTGTTACTCAGTCAGGTCTGGCCAAAAGACGAGCACTTCACTTTCCAAACCACACCATCTGCTTCAAGCCGAGAGGATACAATGGATTCTTAGATAGGGGAATAAAGAAGGAAAAAAAGGAAAGCAAGAGAAAAAGAGCATTATCTTTAAGGGTAGGTGTGCTTATACTTAAGCTAATTTGTTTATGTTTTTCAATTAGGATAAGAAACACTTCCCCATATTGGGTACTGATATTTCACTTCCTCAGCCTTCAGCTGAATATCATCTCTCTTCAACTACCAATTAAAAAGCCTCATACTTCCTGATTAGACATTTTCATTCCCAATTCACTCACAGCTTGCAAATGTAATTGTGATTGGACTTCGGGGTGGTGTGCAAGGCCATTATTTTGTCATGATGGTGCGCTCACACCAGCTGGCCTACTGTTCGCCTGCCACATCTGACAAGATATCATCATTCTCACATCACTTCCCCAAAGCCCAAAGTCATGAGAAGGGAAAATACGTGCCACACTTCCTAATTCCAGGTATAAGGACAAGAAAATTTGGATTCGGACTCAGAACAAATGTGATAAAAGATAACAACCATCTGCTCCAAAATGCCGGTGAACTTGAAACGCACCTCACTAAATGTCTGACAAGCTGTCTCTGACATCCGATGTATATATATGTGTATATTTATAAACGACATCTCTAAAAAAACACTAAACTTTTCAGTGAAATATTAATTATGAGAGCCAAAAATAAAACCAATAAAACTGTTGACATGTTGTTTTCTCTGTTCATTCCACTATGAACTACATCTGTTACTACCCTGAATTTATAAGTGCTACAATGAAAGCCACAGCATCTGGTATATGCGGTTATTGTTTGATTATTTTCTACTTTCTCTCAGTCAATGCATGCCTCTCTTCCTTATTTTCCTTTTCATCCCTCCATCGGGAGCCTGTAGAAGCAAAGGATTATGGATCTCTGGAAAGCGTTCACCCTTGGGTCAGAAGACAAGACAAGGCGAGGTAATGAAAGATAAACAGCTCGCTGCAAACACCTGTTAACGTCCGCTTCAAAGAAAAGACGGAGAGGAGGGAGGTTTTTTTTTTTGTTTTTTTGCGGGGACTGAAAACAAAAAAAGAAGTATTTGGCTGCCAAGCAACAGCTAAAGGGCCCCCCGGGCTGTTGACAGATCTTTATGAAATGAAAAAAAGAGAAAAGAAACGACAATGATTGTGGGCTTTTTACAACAGCGATGGATGATAAGATGAACACAAGAGAGAACACAAGCAATCATAAATATACATCTTTCCCCCCAATTCCTCAGGCAAACCTTTAGTGACACACACACACAAGAGAGACACACAAAGACCAAGCATTCAGGTAGATATAAAGGCAGAAACAACATGTTACTACATAACTAATATATATCCAGCAAGCAAAGAGCTGTAGGATTATTTCTTAAGTCTGCAATTAATGTTAATGACTTGAAGACAAAGCCCTCTTAGGGTAGCTGGTGTGAGACGAATCAAACTTTCATAAGGGTTAGTGGGTGTTGAAGGCTAAGGTACCAAGGAGGTATATGGGTAACAGAGAGGGGACTGAACATAACTGTTTAATCTATTAGTCCCATGTCCACAGGGGATTCAATTTGAGCCTCCCACAGGGGGATAGCCCCTTTATCTGCAGGGCAGCATCAGGGCAAACAGGGGTTAAACTATACTGTAGGCTATACTATTCCCTTATGTGCCAAGTTTCAAATTGTCACCTCCTTCTTTATCTGTTAAAGCCATTTCTTTTTAAAAGGGAAATGGGTGAATCACATTTCCTTCAAGAAAGTTTTGTACCAAAAGAAAGCTTTTAAAGCACTTAGGTTTGAAGATGGAAGAAAAGGCTGGTGCGGTGCTGCGAGAAGGAAGAGGTATGAGTATAAAAATAAATACAACAATGGAGAAGAGAACAGTGGTGGGAGGAAAAGTGATTCATCAACAAATTCTCAGTTTCTTAGGCCGGTTTCAAACAGAATCAAAAGGATTTGATTTTTAACACTTTGTGTATCAGACACATTGGTTTTTGTAGGTCCCCGAGGACTACCCTAACCTGAGATCAGATTCTCCTTATTTAAACAAGTGAAACCTATTTCAGAATAAAAAATGCACTTTTCATTATTAATTTAGCTTTGGCTTTCAAAATTATGAGAAATCACCATCCCACCTGTGTCTTTTTTTTTTTAAAGGATACATTGCTGCCTGAGTAAGGTGAGATGTCAGCCATGTCCTGGAGGTCACTGCACTCTGACTTGATCAGGGATAAGGAGAGGCTCTCGGCTGTGCTGCCAGGGTGTGCTGGTGAACAAGAGCGATGGTGGTGCCCCAGGTGGTGACCTGATGACATCTTTGTTCTCAAACCGGTCGTCTCCCTGGGCAGGTCCATGGAGTCTGGTGAAGTATGGTCCTTGCCGGGATAAGCTGTGGGTGGGCCAATGGGTGTCTGGAAAGGGTAGCCCATGAGTGGCAGAGGAAAGGGATGTCGAAAGGAGGGGGGGCTGAAGCCCATCGAGGCAGAGAGAGATGATGGATGGAGAGCTGGATGGTGGTTACCACCATGGGCACCCACGGCTGAAGACTGATGGTGGTGCTCACTAGGTGTCTTACGTACTACTAAGGGCAGTGCCTCGGTTTGGTCATGGGTGGTACCTGGAATACCAGACATGCTAGCAAAGGAGTCTAGTGGATTAGGAATGATGACATCACCGAAGCACTGAAGCCTCTGGTTGGCGGTGTGGAAGTTTGGGTTGTCTCCATTGACAGCAGCAGGAAATCTTTCAGGGGGAATAGAAAGTGAAGGGAAGGCCTGCTGAGGAGTAGGACGAGGAGGTTTAGCAAATACCTTTACAACTGTGTCAACCACCTGGGTCATGGCTGAGTTGAGCTCTTGCTTCAGTGTTTCTGCTAGCTGTTTACCTTCAGCATGCATGGAGGAGCCTGGACCTCCCTGTCCTTTGTTACGGCCAAGCCCATCTCTTCTTGGCTTCTCACTGTCGGCCAATAGGGCCTGCTCTTGAAGCAAAGCCCGTGCCCTGTCAAGGAAATGGCCTGGGTCCAAATCAGCCATCTCATTGTCAGAACGCAAATCATCTCCACCCCGTTCATCTCCACCGGTGTCCGACCTGCCTGGGCTGTCCTCCGACATGTTTCCTATGTCATTGTGAAGGTCAGTGTGCTCTGAGTCATCAGTGGAGTCATAGATCTGAAAGAACTTCTCCTGGAGTTGCCGTAGTTGCTTTTGCATGTCCTCCAGCTGCAGCTTGAGTTGCCGTCGCTCCTCCTGTTTCTGTTCTTTTCTCTGACACACCAACTGAGTGAAGCTTTGCTGTTGCTGCTGAGGCAGCCGTTGTTTGCGCTTGTTCTCTCGGCTGCTGCACATTTCCCCTCCCCGTGGACTGCTTGGGGCTTGTTGTTGGGACTGAGGAGGTGGACAATCCAGTTCCAGATCCCGCTCTCCATCCATCTCATGATCTCGCTCATGACGGGAAGCAGCAGGCACCACCACACTTGGTGAGTGGCTCATTCCACGTATAATGTTCTCTACACGGGCCCGCTTGGCACGGAGGTGTTCATCATTGAGACGTTCAATGTCAAAGGTGGCAAGGCCAGGAGGGCGACCAAATGGTGACAAGCACTCTTGAGGGGTGCTGTCCTGGGAGGAGTTACTGCATGCATCTTCCTGCGGGGCATCAGAGCTAGCATTAGAGAGCCCTGATCCGGGGAAGCCTGAGTCGACCCTATCCCCCCTATCTCCTCTATCTCCTCTCTCAGGCCCTCCTCCATTTTTTGCAATGTTATTCTTGAGAAGCTGAGAGATAATGGTGGTGCCAGGGAAGGGCATCATGGCATCCTCATATGAGTTGGCCCTCTTCAGTAGCTTTCGAAGAACATTTGATTTGGACTCACTATCGCTGGCTGACACAACGCCAGGCCCACCATGTGGCTGCACTACAGAGCACTCCATGGAGTCGTTGTCTGATCCGTGGTGAGAATGGGAGCTCAGAGAGTTCATGGCACTAAAAATTGCTGCTTTGGCGCGAGCGATGTTATCGGTAGTTACTGCTGATGTGGAAGAGGCTGTGCTACCCACTGTCCTCTTGACACCAATGTCCACACGTCTTCGCTTGGTCTGTCTGTTCAGGAGGGAGTCGCTGTCATGGTCCGGCATCACGGGCTGCTGCTATTGGGCCATATCCCACAAACCCAGTCCTCTAGGGTCAAAGCCTCTGAGTATCTATACAGGGGAATAAAATAAATAAATAAACTTAAATAAATTAACTTAAATCTCTCCCTGGCTTTACTCTCTATATCAGTAACAAAACTAATTCAGCTCCACACAATGTAAATCATTAAAATCTCGATAAAATATACAAATGCTTTCATAAAATTAAGCAATAATATGTTTACACCTTTAAACATTGATTACATTAATCAGGCAAGGTGGGGTCAGACTGAGGCTTTGGCTCAACATTCCAGGGCAAAGTCCTACATATTATCCTGTCCCCTGTTACATGCTGTGCGACAATGAACCAGTTCCCACGGAATACAAAGCTGCATAAAATTATGTTAATTACTTAAGAACTTGTCCTCATTTCCATGATTGTGCAGTGTAGCCCACATAGAAGGCAGAAGCTCACAAAATCAAATAGTAAGAAAATACGGTTGAGATTGTTTTTATAAATTGCATTCACATAGAGGAGAAACACACCGTACACATGAAGACACCTTACTTTATAGTACTGATGAAAGAAATTATTTTCAATCGTTCCTTGATATTGTGCAATTTTTAAAAACAAGTCCTGTGTTCACTCTGATCAATATTACCATCATATCTTACTCAATAGGGAGAATGACACAAAAAAGAAACACAAAATAGACCTATTGATTTAGGTGCCAGCGTGAGCTCACTTCTGTGTTTTTTGTTTGTCTTTTCATCTGGCAAGGGCAGTTAATTCTGCTCAAATGAATAGGTCGTGCAGGTCAACTCTGGCAAAGAGCAACTTAAAGCGCTCTTACAAAAACCCTAATGCCCCTCTGAAAGCAAAACGTTTTGTCAGTACAGGTCTGCACGAATAATGCTATGTAAGCAGCGGTGGCAGTCTTAGTCAGAGACCCATCAGATGTTTCTAGACTTAATTTCAAAGAAACAATTCAAGGATATTTAATGTGCATGAAAATGTAAAAGTAAAATATAAAAGTAACATTGTGTAAATTTAAACATTTTACTATTATCCCGATAATGTTAAAACGGCAGAAGCTTACATGTATTCTTATCATTTAACAGCTATTAAAACAAAATCCATCTCGTGATTTTTTATGAATTGTTTTCATGGTTTAAGCTTATTTTAAAGGGTTTTCAAAGAAGCACAAAATACTGGGAAAATTAAAGAGACAGTGTTACACTGTCTTCATTTTTCACTTTTTAAGTTTCAAAATCTATTTTAAAACAATTAAAGTTTTAAAATGGATTTTCTTGAAGAAACAGTGATTTTTGCACAATAGTGTTCGTAATACCTTGACTTTAAGCAATTTTTAAAAGACACATTGGAATTGCATTTAACTGATTCACACCCCATAACCCAGTCACTGCTGTTTGCTTTAATGTTTTCTGTAACAAGTAGGCATTAATACCCTTAATTTCCGCACTCAGAGTATCATTTGCTGAAAAATGACTCATTTTACAAGTATTTTAAATAAAATCATTTGACAAATGGGTAGGGATTATGTTCTGTAAGCCATTTAAAGCAGCCTTTAGGAGAAGCAATACATCTAGGCTTTAAACCTGACTGGACTGCCTCGGGATCTTAACAAAGAGCTTGAAATAGTCACCAGCACCTGTCTTTTTTCTTGTGTTGGAGCACCTGTCCTACATTGCCTCTCTCTTTTGATTTCTATCTCGCTGGCATAGAGAGAGTAAATATGGACTTTGATTGGATATGTTAGAAAACCTTTTCGTCCCTAACAATTTTATGTCTCCACAAAAAAAAAAAAAAAAAGTAAGTGAACAAATACACTTCCAAGTTGAAAAAACAAACAGACAACCTGGTTATTTGAGTTAAATCGAAATGGCAATAACACTGGTTCTATATAACAAGGAACAATTTTGCTCTTTGAAAGTCAAGATAGTTGCGCACAGTTTCTCCAAATCTGTTTCTCATCATATTTAACGTCATAAAAGATAGAAAACAAATCTAAGTAATAGAAAAAGACGCCGCATGGCCTGCGCAAAGAGTCCTAAACAAATATTGAAGATAATGAAGCTGCAGCAAAAGATATACCCAACTGAACAAAGAGATTATTTTGACAGGCAAGAAGTCTGGATCCGAGTCTTTGTCACTAGTTGTTTAAAAAAAAAAAAAATCAAATTAAAAAGAAATAGACAAAAAAAAAAAAAAAAAAAGCTTCTAAAACTTACTTTGCAGAGTTGCAAATCAACTTCATCTCTGCTTTGATGAGGAAGGCTGGGCTACCGTTCGCAAATCATCCTCGCCAAAAAACACTGACTGCTCACGCAACCCTCATGCACACACAGTTCTAACCTTTATTATCGCACCTATGCGCTCCGCTGGCGATCGGCGGAATAAACGATGCTTAATGGCTTTCATATGTGAGCAAGTAAAGGAAAAGAGCTGTTACTCACCAGTCCAGATGAAGATTTTTTGGGGATACAACCTGAACTCTTGCGGTGGTGAAGGGGAGAAAAGCGCCACGGACTGTTTTGTGGAAAGGATGGAACAGTATTTGAGGGAAGGAAGAGCAGGAATAAAGTAAACCACGCGAACTAAAAGATACAAAAGAATCAAAAGAAAACAGGAAAACGGGCTCTTGCGCGTCCGTCTCTCCTTCTATCCTCTGCTGTGATCTAAAGAGTGAGAGACCTTGAGAGAATAGAAGAGAGAGAGAGAAGGGGAGATGGAGAGAGAGGGAGAGAAGCGGTGCGTGTGTGCGTCTCTGAGGCGCGCTGGATGCAGAGCGGAGGACTGGATGCTGCTGGAGCGCTCCTCCGCCACTAAGATTCACTTTAAGACGCGGCTGAAGGAAACAGGAAGACGTACGCGTCACGAGCGCCGTGATGTAACTGTTGCAGCCTACCAATAAGAAGCGTCCGCGAGGGCCGGGGGAACATCATGCTGAACTTGACCAGAGGAACGGGACTTGATCGCGCACCACAGTGAGGGAGAGGGAGGAATAAAAAAAAGGAAATACAACTTATGGTTTGTCTGTTTCTTCATAAATAGGAGTAAGAGTCGATACGCGCTAAAACTATGTAGCTTATACACAGAAGTTTGGGTCATTTTTATTCTGCAAATCATCTTTTTTTTTGTAAAGATTTTAGAAAATGTCTATATTCACCTTAATTCTCACTATTTGGTTTTCAATACATTGATTAAAAAAAACATACCTATAATATAGCATTGGGTAAAAGCACTTTAAACAAATACCTTTCCCTTTCCCCCCCAAATACTAATATTAATTAAATATTGTTCTTACATTTCCGTTTCTATTGAATTTTTGTTATTTTTATGCACCAGAATGCCGAAATTACGCAAACCTTATTTTTTCAAAGTCTCTCTTTTTACGCTGGTATTTCTAACAAGTTTTATCATAAGGAATTAATTTACATGCAAATCTGGCTGATGCGCGTTAGGATGGCATGCAAAGATATTTTATGCGCTGAGTTTTCCTATTGGGAACAAGAAAAAAAGAAAGGGGAGCATTGATTAAAGAAGAAGCAGGTTAGGTGAGCAGATTGACATATTTTGGCTTTGGAATTTGGATGATCCCAGAAAACCGACATAAAAGGAGAACCAAACTTCTTTTTGCAAAACAAATACATACATAAATACAAATATAATATTAGTTAAAATAAAGATGCTCTGCTCGTTTTTGTTCTGCCCAGGATTAACACACCCGCGCACCAAGATGTCCCTCTGCGCAGAGTTTCAAAAGTGTTTTAAATAGTTAACCCCCCAAAAATATACTGTTTGCCAAATATGTTTAATAAAATCTGGATATTTCTTATCTTTCCACCTGTAACTCTCGAACCCAGCTGGCAGGGACATTTGATCCGCGGTAGAAAAAAAAAAATATGACGCTTCAGATTTATGACATGATGACGGCTGCTGTCCTTTGGTCTTCATGTTTTTTAAATTCGATGCCCACATTTACAGTGCGCCCTGTGCGCTCCGGAAAAGGAGCATGGCGTTGACAACAGGTGATTTTTTTTTTTTTAACAAACTGTTGCTCGGTTTTTGCTGATTTAATGTGCAAACGATTTTATTTTACAAGATAATCAATTTCGGGGAGATTACAACCGTTATATTTTAAGTTATTTTAAGAAATTTAAATTTCTACATTTAGGAAACGAATAAGCAAAGTATAATATTACTATTATTATTTTTTTTACTATTATTAAAACTATACAGTCGCAATGATAAAGAATTATACGTGGTTCGCTTCTCTTTGCTTTTAATTTGCAGATATTCTCTCTATTTTTTTATTCTCTGCACAAACAGGATCCTGAAACACTTAACGAGGAATCTTATTTTCCATAAACCCGTCTGTCAGGTGCCAAAAAGGAAAAGGCGAGTCTCTTTTCCATGTCGCAAGCATGTGTTTTTTTCTTTCTTTTTTAGGACGAACAAAATGCAACAAAGTCAGCAAAAGTTTAGTGTCTGGAGTGGCTTTTCCAAAGCAGGTGTCCCGGCCCCCTTGCTCCCCTAAACAGGTCTGTGGCTAGATTTGGCCCTTTGGCTCCCCTGGGCGCCGTCGATACGCACACAGCCTGGAAAAACAGGGCCGGGACATTAAAGAAACGCTTGTTTGCAAAAGGAAAGACTCGGGCGAGGTGAAGAGGAAACGTGATGGTTTAACACTGGCTGGCAGCTCTTATCGCGGCCCGTTCCAGGTGGATCAAACCCGCGCGTTTAATCCAAACTCACCCCCATGTTTCTGGATAGAGCGCAACACAGCTCGATGACTGAAACTGATAATGCGCAGCGGCATTGCGCGCTGATGGGTAAATTAACAGCCATATTTATTAGAGCAGCGTCGACACAAAGGGGGAAGGCCGTGAACACAGTATTTTCCCCAGAGGTGCTATAAACTTAATGTAAATCAGATTTGGAGTGGTAATAAACACGCCTGTGGTACAGAAGAATATGCATTTATATAAAGTACCGGTAATCTAGTTTATTGATATTAAATGCTTATTTATTATTATTATTATTATTATTATTATTATTATTATTATTATTATTATTATTATTATTATTATTATTATTATTATTATTATTATTGTTGTATTTTCCCCAAGGCTTTACCCGAAGAATAATAAGAAAAGAGTAAATAATTAAATTAAAACAACAACAAAAAATGAAATTCATTAATCAATATTTTAGTTTTTAGGATACTGGTGTCTGGTTAGCAGCATATAAATGCAAAATTAAAGGTCCTTTTGTGAATAATTTAAGGAGTCTGGACTGCCTTTTTCATTCTATCTATCTATCTATCTATCTATCTATCTATCTATCTATCTATCTATCTATCTATCTATCTATCTATCTATCTATCTATCTA